TCTGTGGGAGTGCCTTCTAGCCATGAACCATTTAAAAACTTCCACCACCACTTAAAGTTCTCCCCCCCGCCTACACCAATAAATTTTGGGTTTAAATTTTCAATACTGTAAACAGATGTGGATGAATGGAGGTGGGATGGGAACGGATGATTGGTCATAATGTAAAATTAATGAACTATAATTGTTGGAAATTCGAAAAAAAATTGGACATTTTGTGACAAAAACATAATCTAGCCTTTATAATCCTTAAAAATATCCCTAGAATAACAAATGTTTAAAGCCTACAATTTTTTTAAAGTGGTTGAAGGAAATGTTTATATATTTTTTGAAGATCATAATAGACATTAAAAAAATCTTTAAGATTATAACAATGGATTTTTGAATATTTTTCATTATTTGAGATTTTTTCAAAATTCTTAAATAATTTTTAAAAAACTAAAAAAAAATTATAAAAAATTAAAAAAAAATGCCAATATCTGTTTGTTTAAATAAATACTTACTTCCATTATGACTGGACTGGGGGAGTTTTCCGAAAGGGTAGGACAATATAGTCCAATTCGTATAAGACAAATTGTTACAAATTTTATAATCGTGTTGATTATTCAAAACTTTGACCCTTTTGTGGGGGAGGTACTAGAAGAAATTTTCCGATCTCTACCATCTTTATAATAGATCTTGTGTTGATAGAAATATTGGGATAAACCAAGTCTGAATGGAGTCGCCTGTGAATTTCGCATACCAGAAGGTATGGGCATTTATAGCCCATTTCCGAAGGCGAACCAAATTTGTTAATAATATTACGATGTGTCGAGTTTACTTCCTTTGAGAGTTATCGTGCACAACAGCCTGACTAATAGACGTACGGAAGAATACAAATAGATCGACTGCAAGTGTCCTGAAACGGATATGGTTCATGGAGACTGGGGTCTTAATGAGGCAGGTTTTGGCCGCATCAAATGATATATACCCCTCTGTAGTCATGTGGCCAAGGTTATAAAAATCCTCGACAGAAACTTTACGATTTCTCCTTCAAAATATTATTCAAAATAAATAATTAGAGAACCTAAAAAAAGATCCGCAAATGATCCCAAAAAAAACTTTAAAAATCAACTCCAATAGCCTTGAGACCATAAAAAATATGAAGAAATCAAAGAATTGGAACCTGTGAGTCCTTCAAAATTGAAAAAAGTTTGAAAAAAGACGGGATATTATAAAAAAAATCTAAAAAATGTTTATAAGCCCTAAGTATTGCAAAAAAAATTCATGAGTAAAGCCTTCAAAAAGTTCCAAACAATTTAAATTACTGCCTTAAAAAAATTATAAAAAGAATCAAAGATTCTTAAAAAAACGAACTTAAAACTACTTACTCTAAAAAGACACGTACGGTCCCCCCGATGGTCCCACAAAAATTCTTAAAACATAAAGGCATTGGGACCACAAAAATATGAAGAAATCAAAGACTAGAGACCTGACAGCCCTTCAAAAAAAAAAAAAAATCTAAAAATACAAGATTACTTCGAAAAAAAAAAACTTCAATTTTTGTATACCCTCAAAGATCCGGTCTGAATAGCGGGGAAACTCTCATTCAGTCAGGCTGATTTCCTAAAAAAAACAATTCAGCAGATCTTCAAAGTCAGATTTCCTACAGAAAATAAATAATTAAATTAAAAAAAACTAACAAATACCGACAGTAAAAAATCTACGACTAATAACCTAATAATCTTTAAAATATTTGCAAAAATCCAAGATTTTAGCCTTCAATGTCTTCAAAAAAAAAAAATAAATAAAATAAAATAAAAATTTTTTGTCGCCCCAAAGCTCCAGGCTATATGGAAAATTTTCTATGAAATCTCATGGCCCAGATTTTCTATTTTTATAATTTAATGGAAACTTTTTCAATAGCTTAACTTTTGTTTTTATGGCACACATATTTGTGCACATCCACCAGGCCTGTGATTGGTTGTTTTGCCACTCTCTCTCTATGTCTCTGTATCTGTGGAAATTATAAAAAAATCAACGACTTACTTGTTATTCCCTTCGGAACTTAAAATTTCAAAACAAAAAAAAAAAAAAAACGTATTTTTATATAGGAGACGCTATAGTACCGATTTCGGACGAAATATTAAACAAATCCGGTGAATAATGTCTCTAATATCATCAAAATACCGAATAAAGGGAGGTACTGTTGTATAGGAGCCATACTAAGACGTGAACCTGCATAGAACATTTCCCGTCACAGGTGGTAGAACCCATTACGACCTACAAATACGAAATTTGACGCAATTCCGGTGAATCATGTTGCAAAAATCCTCGAAATACCGAATATCTTGGGGTAGCGTTATATGGGTGGTGGACCTACACATAAAATTCTCTTTCAGGGGATACAAAGAACTTCTTGTGTGGAATTTCAGACAATTCCATTGCATAAAATCATAATAATACCGAATATCGTAGATCGATATAGCCCATCTTCGAACTGCCTGCACACAAAAGACTGATCTGTGTAAAATTTTAGCTTCCTATCTAAATTCGTTTTGATTCTAGCGCCTTAGAATTTTACGCTGATCAAGAATATATATATTTTTGTTGGGTCTAAAATTATTATTTCGATGAGTTACAATCGGAATGGCGATCTTAATATACCCTCCATACTATGTATGGTGGGGGGTATAAAAACGTAAAAACGTTTATAGCCCAAAAACTCCAGGCGGCATTGAGGATTTCTTATGGATGCTCATGTTAAATTTCCAGAGTTTCTATTTTTATAACACCTTGGAAAATTGACGTTTTCCTATAGCTTTTTTTAACTCCATAAGGTTATCCTTAAAAAAAATTGAAAATTTAAGATTTTCGCCTTCAGGAGACCCAAAAAAAAAAAAATCTTATAAACTTGTATAGCCCCAAAGCTCCAGGCTGCAATGAAGATTTCCTATGGAAGCTCCTATTAAATTTTTCAGATTTTCTATTTTTATGATATCATGGAAAAGTGTATTTTCCAATAGTTTTACTTTTGTTTTTGTGGCACACATATTTTTTCCACCTCCATCAGGCCTTTCATTGGTGGTTTTGCCGCACTCTCTCCCTCTCTCTATGTCTCCCTGTCTGTCTATCACCCCGTCTCTGTATCAGTGGAATATAAATCACTTGATTCAAGGAAATCGGTAAAATCGAATTCAGACACTATCAGAGTGTATGCCATAGAGTAGATGAGTTGTGAGACTGGGGACATGTTGTGGCGATAGACAGACACAGAGACAAACCGATAGACAGACATCGTATCGTATTAATAACGCCAAACCAAAAACAATGTAAAGGTAACAGAAAATTTACAGACATACAGACACAACTACACAACTGGTGGTTTGTGGTTCAGTTAGAAGGGGGCGAGAGATTTTCAAACCCCGATATTTTGTTAAATATTCGTAATCAACAAATGTATTGAGAATTGTTTGGAACATGTGACACGATCATTAACATCAACAACATAATTATCATAAAACCAGTAAAGAAAGTCTTAAAGTCGGGCGGGGCCGACTTTATGATACCCTACACCACTTTGCTAATTTAGTAGAGCTCCACAAAACAATTAAAAGTTTTTATGGGAGAATTCAATCATACACGCTGTGATTATAATTATAATTTAAAGTTCAAAGGACTAAACATGCCGAAGCATTTGTATCTTTTAAATTCGGACTTGTATTGACCATTTGGTGCACAATTAATTTGAAATCGGATAAATATATATATGGGAGCTATATCCAAATCTGAACCGATCTCCAAATCTGAGCTGTATTTGATATATTTCCCTAAATATTGTTGTTGCAGAGTGCATATTACGGCGGCGGTGGACAAAAATAACAAATCGGATGAGCAATATATATGGGAGCTATAGCTATATCTGAACCGATTTCGATCAAATTTGGCATACATATTTTCAGGTCTAATTTGGTTGTATGTGCAAAATTACATACAATTCGGGTTGATATTACACGTTTGGTGCACAATAAAAGGCAAATCGGACGAAGATATATATGGGAGCTATATCTAAATTTTGACCGATTATCTCCAATTTCAATAGGGTTCGTCCTTGGGCCAAACAAATGATCTGTGCAAAATTTCATCTGGATCGGGCAATAAATGCGACCTGTACTTTGTTTACAAAAATACATGGACAGACGGACAGACGGACGGACGGACAGACGGACGGACGGACGGACATGCATAAATCGACTCAGAATGTGATTCTATGCAGATCATCAAAAGGAACTATGTGTCTACCTCGTTTCCTTCTTCCTGTTACAAACAAATGCACAAAGACATAATACCCTGACCACCTTGTGGTGTAGGGTATAAATATTGTGGGTTATATATTACGGACTGATGAATGAGCCACTGCTGCTTCCGATTGCAATGACAATGATGATGGGGGTGATGGTTTATAATTTGTAGCCATGCTTTGCCACCCCCTTCAACTAAAAGATTCACATTTGAATGGAAACCCAAAAAATGACAAATAAACAAAAAAAAAAAAAAAACTTAATTATATTTTGATTGTGGTGAATATTGCCCTTTTCCGCAGCGATTGAGCAGCATTTTTTTCCTATGAATCAAAGTTCTCTTCTACAGCTCCGTTGTAAAAATTTATTGTGTTACGCTCATTTGGCAAAAGGTATTTGACTCTATTTCCCCATCTTTTTTATTTTTGTAACTAGAATTTTGATGGACAAATGGGTTGGTACGAAATTTTCCCTGGCTACAACTTCATGCTAAACAAAAGAATTGAAAAAAGCACCAATGAAAAAAAAATTGAGTAAATTACATGTTGTTGCCATTCGTGCGTAAAACTTTTTCAATATTCTAAATTTTTTCCACAACTTAATAATCAGCTATTGATTTTATTCAGCCCGGCGTTGTAATGCCGCAATAAATTGTGTTTTGTGTTGAAAAAAATAAAAATAAAACTTCGAAAGGAAGTCATAACAAAAAAATCGTCAACTTACCTTTTTATGGGAGGCAATATGCTGGGCATGGTTGAAATCACCTGGAAAAAAAATAAGAAAAAAAATATTTATTAAAAAGAATTAAAAAAAAATATTGGGAAAAATCGAAAAAAATCTCATGGAGAGTCAGAAAGACATTTTCTCGAAAATAGCTTTGAAGGAAATCCACACTTTTCAGACATTGTAAAATATATTTATTGGTTAATCAGTGCCGTAAAAAATTCGCCCATCTCTAAGATATCGAAAAAAATAGTTATAGAAAAATTCAAGTCACTGAAATATTGGAAAAAAATATTTTCGAAAAAAATCGGATTTTGGACACATTACAAAAAGTTAAAAAGTATCAGTCGGTTTTGCCGAAGATGTATAACCTCAGACAATGTTCGATTAATTTAACATATTGAAGAAGTGGGCCAATACTGTCCATTTCGTATCGGACCTAAATAAATATGATATAAATATTGCGATATGCCAGGTTTGGACTATATGGACTACTCCTTCACTTTTTACGGAAAATTTGATAATTTAAAAAAAAGAACTGTGAACTGATTCATCCCACCTTCACAGCAGACCTTGTGTTAGTAGAAATCGTGGGATGTGTGAAATATGAAGATAACCGAATGCTTATTTCGGATTTTATGATCGTTTTTGTTATTCGAAAGTTTGACCCTTTGGGGGGAGGTACCAGAAGGAATGGTTCGATCTCTATCATCTTCATAACAGATCTTGTGTTGATGTAAATATTGAGATATGCCAAGTCTGAATGGAATCGGATGTTCATTTCGCGTTTAATGAGCTTCATGGAAAAAAATATTGGGACTTGCAGAGTTAGCACAAAATCGAATGGTCCTTTCGCTTTATGTGCAGTAAAATATTTTTTGGAAAATTTCGACGATTTGTAGGGAAGTTACCAGATTTCGCCCATCTCCGAACTCGATCTAAGTTTGACTATAATATTACGATGTACCAAGTTTGGAGATCGAATCCAATTGTCCTGAAATGGATTTGGTCCAAAAAACCCTAGGGTCTATAACCCTTATTTCGATGAGGTACGTTTTGGCCCTCTCTAGCCATATGGCTGAGTCTATAAAAATTTCCTTAAAATAATGTACTCAATGTGTCAGATACACCGGAAATTCTATTTTCCGAATTATCAAGATATATATAAAAGAGTTGTGTAATATCTGACTGACTGATAATCAACGCCCAGATGATACGGATGAAGCTAGAATCTTGAATGTTTGCACGAGGGCTGGTCTAGGTGTGTGAAAAGGCTGGGGTTTTGGAAATTCGTATTGAAAGGGTACAAAAGGCAATAAAATATACCAACAATTATTAATTTTTGAATGTGAGTCACAGATGGAGTGTATGATAGATGTACCAAAGGATTTTCGGAAATTCCAACCCTAAGGTTACGAAAAGTTCTAAAATGATATTAAACTTCTAAAATGGTACCATTTGATACTATGTAAACGGACAGAGCTAAAAACTTGGAATTTGATATGAGAATCAGTGTTGAAAATCATTTTGAAGATGAAAAAGGTGGTTTTGAAAATGTGCACCAAGTAGGCGAACTGTATTAAATGGTACTAAATTTGGAACAATTTGGTTTTGGGCGAAAATATGGTAATTTGAAATGTTGGTATTGGGGTCTCTGTTGGTGGTAGGTTTGTGACAAATAAATGATTTTTGGATATGTGTGCTACAAATTTACTACAAGTGCACGAAAGGTACTAAATCGTACTATATTTAGTACAATTTGGTATTAGGTTAACAGATAGCGCTTGAAATCTGAAATCTGACGGTGGCTTCGAAAATGTGTACTATACTTCTACTAAATGTACTATACTAAATGTACTATAGATATAGAGATAAAATTCGAAAATTTGATATTTAGATTACTTGTTGGAATCTGTGTTTTAGATTCGGTGGTTAGGGATGAAAGATGTCACTGTTGGTGTCTGTGGTTGAGAGAAGGAGCTGGTTTTGGATATGCGTACTATAATTGTACTAAATGGCACTAAACTTGCTGGTAAAGGAAATTGCAGAGCTGAAATTCTGAAATTTGATATTAAGGTCTCTGGTTCGGTAATGGGGTTGAGAAGAGGAGATTTTGTTTGTAAATACGTCTTAGATTTGGCTCTAGGCATTGATATAAAATTCTGAAATTTGATGGTTAGATTACTGATAGTATCCTTGTTGGGGTTTTGTCGGTGGTTTAAAAGTGTGTCCTATATTTGTACGAAAAGTACTAAATGGTACTAAATTGGGCATTGGGTGAAGAGATAGAGCTGAAATCTCGAAATTTAAAATTCAGGTCAATGTTGGTATTTGGAATTGAGATATGGAGGTGGTTTTGGAAATGCATACTATAATTGTACTAAAGGCTACTAGATTTGGCAATGGGCGGAAATTAGAGAGCTGACATTCTGAAATTTCATATAAGGTCATTGTTAGTATTTGAGGTTGAGATTTTAAGATGTTTTCGGAAATGTGTACTATAATTGTTCGAAAAGTACTAAGTGGTACTAAATTGGATATTGGGTGAAGGGATAGAGCGGTAATCTTGAAATTTGATGTGAATGTCACTGTTGGTGACGGCGGTTAATGTTCGAAAAATACCAAACGATACTGAATTTGGTAATGGGGGAAATTAAAGATCTGAAATCCTTTAATTTGATATAAAGGTCATTGTTGGTATCTGATTTTTTTGGAAATGTATCTTATATTTGTTGGAAAGATACTAAGTGGTACTAAATTGGTTATTGGGTGAGGGGATAGCGCTGGCATCCCGTAATTTGAAATTCAGCCCTCTATTGGTATCTGGTGGTTATTTTGGAAATGTGTACTGTAATTGTTCGAAATGTACTAAATTTGGTTTTAAAAAAAATTTGGAATTTGATATTTAGATTACTGATTTGGCGGTGGTTTGAAAATGTGTCCTATATTGGTAGGAAAAGTACTAATTTGTACTAAATTGGGTATTGAATGAGGAGATAGAGCTGGAATCCCGAAATTAGAAAATCAGGTCTATATGTACTATAATCGTCCGAAAAGTACTAAATAGTACCAAATTTGGTAGATCTAAATTCACTAGATCGAATTAAATGGATCGAATTAAAGTAGGGCAGTTCAATCAAATGTTTCCTTTAGAAAACTGAGGTGGAAAAAGTAAATGATTGTTCTATGAAAAAATTAAAAAAATACCGAAGAGTACTATTTCCATTTTTTAAGGTTGGCATATGGGAATTTTTTCTAAAGATAAAATCTTCATATTTACCTTTATGTTTTTTATAACTGATAATGTGTAATGTACTTGTAATTTTCATCTAAGGTCATAGTTAATAACTATTTTGCTACAATTTCTCAAGAAACCTCTTACAACTTCCTCTCTCATAGGCCAAATAGAAGTTGTAACATAACTGAGTAATGTTAATATACAAGGCCAACATCAAACATACATGTAAACATATTTAATCTTCTCTGGCCTAATTTGTCTTAATATTTCATGGAAATTTTTATCTCATCTTTGATATGCAAGACAAAAAATAAGACATTAAAATTTCTATAAAAGAAAAATATTTTCATTAGAAATTTTTTTCCGAAAAATTTTCTATGTCTCCTCAGGTGCTGTGGCCATAAATGACCCAAAATGCCATTTCACCAAAATAATACTTTCTTTTATGTCTCTTGATATACCAAATAATTATGAATGTTAATTACCCACCCAGGCAGGCAGTCATCTTCATCTTCTGAACTACTCCAGTTATTTGCCACCTCGAAATTCATGGATCTCTGGTTGCGCCCCGTTTTTTTATGGAGTTTGTGACGCTTTTATGAAAATATCATTCAAGCAATTTATCCGGCCACAACGCCTTTGACACTTTTATTAGTTTTCTACGTGGATATGAAAATTGTTAATTATAGTCATTAAAAACGGGGAGAGGAAGACAGAGGGAAAAATGTGATCAAAACATAGGTGAAGAAAACCCATGCCAAAGGTCGTCAGTGCAAGGGGCTTTAATTGTATAAAAAAGTACTAAATGATACTATATTTGGTATTGGGGAAAGAGCTGGAATCCCAAAATTTGATATTGATGTCACTGTTGTTATCTGAGGTTGAGATTTTGAGGTAATTTTGGAAAAGTGTAATATTTTCGTACAAAAAGTATGAAATGGTACTAAATTTAGCATTGGGTGGAGGAATAAAGCTGGAATCCCGAAATTTGATATAAATGTCACTTTTGGTATCTGGGGTTGAGATTTGGTGGTGGTTTTGAAAATGTGTACCATAAGTGTACGAAAAGTACTAAACGGTATACCTAATTTCGGTATTGAGTGAAGGGATAGAGATAAAATTCTGAAATACGATATGTTGATGGCTGATGGTATCTGTGTTTGGATGTGGAGGTGGTTTGTAAATGTGTCCTATCTTTGTACGAAAAGTACTAAATGGTACTAAATTTAGTATTTGGTGAAGGTATAGAGCTGAAATCCTCAAATTTTATATTGGTATATGGAATTGCAATATGGAGGTGGTTTCGAAAATGTGTGTACTACAAGTGCACTAAAAGTACTAAATAGTACTCAATTTGGTACAATTTGGTAAGGGATGAACATAAAGTGCTTAACATCTGTAATTTTGTATTATGGTCGCTGTTCATGTGTAGCCTAGACATATGAATGTGGTTTCGGAAATATGTAAAATAATTGTACGAAAAGTACTAAATGGTACTATATTTGGTGTAGGGTAATGGGATAGAGATAAAAATCTGAAATTTGATATTTTTACTACTCACAGTGTCTGTGTTTGAGATTTAGCGGTGGTTTGGAAATGCGTCCTATATTTGTACGAAAAGTACTAAATGGTACTAAATTTGGTATTGGGTGAAGGAATATGTCTGGAATCCTTATATTTGATATCTGAGGTCTCTGGTGGTATCTAGGATTGAGATATGGAGGTGATTTTGGAAATGTGTACTATAATTGTTCGAATAGTACTAAATGGTACTAAATTTGGTTTTGGGTGAAGGGATGGAGA